AAGCTTTTGTTGTTATTGTTATTTAGAGCTCTACTTGGTTGTGCACTTTCTTGGTGGCTTCTTTCTTTGTCACCATTTTGTATCCATATTTGGTAGGTGACTTATTGTTGCTCCTACTTTTTTGGTGGCTTCTTCCTTTGTCACCATTTTTGTATCCATATTTGGTAGGTGACTTATTGTTGCTCTGACTTTTACTGGTGTAGAGTGATTCTTCTTCACCCTTCAATGTGATGCCTCCAATTTGTTTAACCATGTATTCTTGGCTAACAATTTTTCAAACTCTACAAGTGAGGGTTGAGTGGGTCATCCTTGTACAGCAATAACGAAACTTCTATATTTTGGTCGTAATCCGTGGATAATGATCTTCTTCTCGAGCTTCTCCAATGATAGACTTCAGGCTTAGTTCAATAATCTTTCGGAAAATCGACTAGAGTTTGTGGAAGTACTGAGCAATCGTCATGTCACGTTGTGAAATTCAAAGCAGCTTATTTTCCAGAAGTTGTAACCTAGTATCGTTCTTCTTTGAGAACAGCATCACGAATGTGTCCCATGCTTCTTTAGATGTCCCAAATGTGTTATAACATCTCTTCTCCGATTGTGGTATTCATGACAAACATTGGTTTGCCTGCTTTGATTCTCCATTTGTGCAAGGCGGTGTTAGAATCTTCCTCTGGCACAATTTCACACCCGCCAATGATCTCCCAAAAATTTAATAAAGGTAAGTCTAAACCGAGAAGGTATTACAAGAGATGGTATAAGTTCTTAATGAACTCTATGCATGACATTGGGCTAAGTAACGTCCTAGGACGTGTATGAATGAACGTTAACGTAACAAGATGTTGAAATCAAGTTATAGCACCAGGACATGAATATGAGACCCTTGGATGTCATGGAGGTAGAATACTGGCCTTAAAAAGCTTTATATGTGACGCTAGAAAGAGGGAAGTGAGTTAGTCTAAGTATAAATGTATTAATGTTGAGATGGTCGAGTTAGTCTAACGCAGCAGATTAAGGTTCTGGTTCGAAAAGACATGAATTTAAATCTCACTCTCAACATTATTGTTTTCTTCTAACTTTCTAGAGATCTCAAAATTTAATTAATATATTTAATTTTTTTTTTTTTTTTTTTAACTTTAGGCATGAAATTGGGTTACATATCTGAGAGTTTTAATAAGAGTAATGTCCTAGGATGTGTATGAATGAACGTTAACGTAACAAGATGTCAAAATCTAAGTTATAGCTCCAGGACATGAAGATGAGACCCTTAGATGTCATGGAGATAGCATACTGGTCTTAAAAGGCTTTATATGTGACGCTCGAAAGAGGGAGGTGAGTTAGTCTAAGTATAAAAGTATTAATGATAAGATGGTTGAGTTGGTCTAACGTAGCAGATTAAGGTGAATATTATTGTTTTCTTCTCACTTTCTAGATCTCAAAATTTAATTAATATATTAATTTTTTTTTAATAGGAGTAATTCCAAACCCATAAAGTATTACATGAGAGGATATAAGTCCTTAAATCACCTCTATGCATGACGTTGGGTTAGTGAGAGTTTCAATAAGGGTAATGTTCTAACCCAACAAGATATTGTTGAAACCAAGTTAAAGCACCAGAATTTGAAATCTTGGCTTTATATATGATATTCGAGAGAGGAAGCTAAATTAGTCTAAGTTGAGATGGTTGAGTTGGTCTATAACGCTAGATTTAGGTACTTGTCCATAAAGGCATGGTTCAAATCCTAGATTTAGGTACTTTTTGGGAAAATTATGAACCAATAAGGTATTACATGAGATGATATAAATCTTTAATCAACTTATGCACTTTTTAAGAGGGGAAATTCTGAACCAATAAGGTATTGCATATGTGAGAGTTTAATAAGGGTGAAGTTCTAGGATGTCTATAATGAAATTTAGCCCAATAAGATATTATTGAAACAAAGTTATTGCACCATGACATGAAAACGTTAACCTAGCAAGATATATGTTTGAAACCAAGTTATGTTCGAGAGATTAGACCCTTTGAAATCTTGGAGGTAGCATATTGGCCTAAGAAAGCTTTACATAAGATATATAAAAGAGGGAGATAACTTAGATTAAGTTGAAATGGCTGAGTTGGTCTAAGGCACAAAATTAAAGTTATGGTTTAAAAGGGCTAAGGTATTGTTGAAATCAAGTGAGATCGTTTAATTTCTTGGAGGTACCATATTAGCCTTAGAAAGCTTTACATAGTTACTGAGGAGAGGGAGCTAATTTGTTGTAGTCGAAATGGTATTGAGATGAGACCGTTTGATATCTTGGAGGTACCATATTAGCCTTAGAAAACTTTATATATGATACTCAAGAGAGGAGCTGAGTTGGTCTAAGGCGCTAGACAAAAGTTCTGGTTCGAAATTGTGTGGGTTCAAATCTCTTTCTCTTAACATTATCGTTTTCTTTTAACTTTCTAGAAATCTCAAATTTAAAATTCACTTAAAAACTTTTTAATATGTATAATTTTGAGCTGGTAAGGTATTGCATGAGATGATATATCTTGTTGAAACCAAGTTATAGTACAGGACATGAGAGATGAGACCGCTGGTAGCATATTGGTCTTATCAAGCTTTACATATGATACTCAAGAGAGGGAACTAAGTTGATCTAAGTTTAGATGGTTGAGTTGGTCTAAAGCGCTAGATTAAAGTTCTCCTTTGGAAGGACGTGGGTTCATATCCCACTCTAACATTATTTTTTTCTTTCAAAATCTATGCATGGAAATTGGTTACATAATTGAGAGCTTATTGGTTACATAATTGAGAGCTTCCAAAATTTAATTAATATGCTTCAAAACTTTTTAATAGGGTAATTCTGAACCAACTCTATGCATGGCAATTGGTTACATAATTGAGAGCAACAAAGGTATAGCACCAAGACATGAGAGATTAGACCGTTTGATATCTTGGAGGTAGCATATTGGCCTCAGAAAGCTTTAAATATGATACTCAAAGAGAGGGAGCTAGCTTGGTCTAACTTGAGATGGTCGAGTTGGTCTAATGCACCAAATTAAGGTTTTGGTCCGAAAGGGCATGGGTCGAAATCTCACTCTCAACATTATTGTTTTCTTCCAACTTTCTAGAAATCCCAAAATTTAATTAATACACTTCAAAACTTTTCAATAAGGGTAATTTTGAACCGATAAGGTATTGCATGAGAAGATATAAGTCCTTAATGAACTCTATGCATGACAATTGGTCATGTAACAAAGAGCTTTAATAAGGGTGAAGTTCTTTAGGAAGATAGTTAGAGTGTCATGTAGTTGGTGGGGAACCCGATCTATCATTCTAAGACAAAGCACAGAAGACGATACCATTTCACTTGGAGGTTAGTGAAAGATGGTGATGTGTTTGGAGAAGATAGAGGGTGCAAAGAATCCAGCAAATACCATTTCATTTGGAGGTTAGTGGAAGATGGTGATGTGTTTTGAGAAGATATAGGGTGCAAACAATTCAGTAAACATGTTGAAAAAATGTGTTGATGTTCGAATATTGAGGTTGTGCAAAGCCTCAATTGGTATGGTACAGATTGAAAATAAAATTTTGAAGTACAAGTAGTAGATCCTTGGGATATTAAGTTCTGATGACTATTCATAATTTGGTAGAGATATAATAGTAGATTTGTAAAGATTTTGTATATATATGTAGATATTGTATAAAATTTTTTTATAGAGATATATTTGGTAGGGAGTGGTTAAACCTATATTTAGGAAGCCAAAACCCTATATATACCCATTAGTTGGTTCTTACCAGATGTACTTTCTTCATTCTCCGGTATATATCTGTAAGTTATCAATAAACCTTCTAGCAAATATTTATCTTTCCTATTCTTTGTGCTCATCTTCATTGAATTGAGTGTGTGCGTTGTTGAGCGATAGCGATCCCAACCGAAACAAAGTTATAGCACAAGGATATTATACAGACCAAATTTTTAATACTATATTATTACAATAATTTGAAAAAAAAATATAAAAAATTCTTAACTTAAATAAGGAGTCTACATCCTACGTCCCCGGTAAGCTTGTCAATCCCCTCTAACTCAGCTTGATGACACGTCATACTGTGTCCAAATATGAAAATCTAAACTAATAAAATATTACCTGACATGATATAAGTCCTAAATAAACTTTATATATAATATTGAATTACATAAAGATTTTTAATAAAGATAACGTCCTAAGATATTTACGAAGGAACGTTAACCCAGAAATCAATATCTAATAACTTTAAAGACTAAAGTTTCATTAATACACATGACCCACTACTATTATTTCTCATTTTTATGCTCCCACGTCATGGACTCTTATAATTTCCATTCTTTAATTTCTCAATGCTAAAATTTTTCCATTTTGAAAATATTTTTCCTAGAATTTAAATAAAAGAAAAACGGAGTAATTTATATTTTAATATTTTGAAAGATATAAATATAACAAACTTCACCTCTAAATAGTTAATTTTAAAAATAAATTGGGTATATTGCGTATTCAAAAGATTTCTATTGATTTAGCTTATTTGTTACTTATTGTTTTACTCCAATAGTCAATTTGTGTTACATTTAATTTCACAGCGTTTGCCTTATGGGCCCATCTTTTTCTTATTCCCATCAAACGCGATTTTAATACCAACGGACATAATACCCTTTAATAAATTCTCGATGCTCCTCGTATCTATCTGTTTAGCACTGATCTTCACTACTACTTCGTTTTCGTAGAATATTGAAGATTCTATTGATATAACTTGGCATTGGGTATGAGTTTGAATCGGAAAAGGGAGAAGGTTTAGAACGCCAGGTGTCGCAACAAAGAACCCAAGGCGCACCTAGAAAACCAGGACATGGTATAAGTGGAAATGGTATTTGATCACTCAAAACCATGGTTATTTCCCAAGAACAAAATATTTATAAAAAATTAATCAAATTCAAATTCTTTTTCAGGTACACACAATCCTGCGTATTGCTATAAATGCTCACTCTGTTCCTCAATTCAACCCACCAAACACACAAATCCATTTACTCTCATTCCATCAAACATTCTGTTCTTCAACCAAAATCCGACCATGTCATCCACTGTCGGTCAAGTCATCAAATGCAAGGGTACGCTATCAATCAATCAACTAACCCTGTTTCTTTTGTTGTTTGGATGAGCCATTCATGTTTGTATTTGTGTTTGTGTAGCTGCTGTTGCATGGGAGGCCGGAAAGCCACTGGTGATCGAGGAAGTGGAAGTGGCACCACCGCAGGCCAATGAAGTCCGATTGAGGATCCTCTTCACATCTCTCTGCCACACCGATGTTTATTTCTGGGAAGCCAAGGTAAATTCGTAATCTCAGCTTTATTTTATGAAATGAGTGTCAGAGTTTTCATTTTGTTTTCCTCTCTGTGTGTTTTTAGGGTCAAGCCCCGTTGTTCCCTCGCATCTTTGGACATGAAGCTGGAGGGTAATTTCTGGTTTTGTTCTTCTGATTCTTTGCTTTTGATTTCATGGGGTTTTGATTTTTGGGGTTTGCTCTGTTTTTTTTTTTTTATGTTGTTTGGACAGTATTGTTGAGAGTGTTGGAGAAGGAGTCACAAATCTTAAACCAGGAGACCATGTTCTTCCTATTTTCACTGGTGAATGTGGGGATTGTCGCCATTGCCAGTCGGAAGAGAGCAACCTGTGTGATCTTCTTCGTATCAACACTGATCGTGGAGTTATGCTCAATGATGGCAAGACCAGATTCTCCATTAATGGACAGCCCATTTATCACTTCGTTGGAACCTCCACTTTCAGTGAATACACTGTTATTCACGTTGGCTGTTTAGCCAAGATCAACCCAGCTGCCCCTCTCGACAAAGTCTGTGTTCTTAGCTGCGGCATTTCCACAGGTCTTGGTGCCACTTTGAATGTTGCAAAGCCTACAAAGGGTTCATCTGTTGCTATCTTTGGACTTGGAGCTGTTGGCCTCGCTGTAAGTCATTCAACCTCTGAATTCACAGGTTGTGATACCAATTCCTAAACGCTTTTGTGTTCTAGGCGGCTGAAGGAGCAAGAATTGCCGGAGCATCCAGGATCATTGGTGTTGATCTGAACCCAGCTCGATTCGAAGAAGGTAAAAAATAATGAACATAATGGAGTCTTTGAGGGGATTTTGATGTATGACATGATGTATAAACGTTTTTGCAGCGAGGAAATTCGGATGCAATGAGTTTTTGAATCCAAGGGATTACAAGAGGCCAGTTCAAGAGGTGATAGCAGAGATGACAGACGGAGGTGTCGACCGGAGTGTGGAATGCACCGGAAGCATTCATGCGATGATCTCAGCCTTCGAATGCGTTCACGACGTAATTAAACAAAAACCCCATTTTCCTTTTTGGCATTGACTTCGAAACAAAATCACATAGAATTGGTTGCTCTGTTTTGAAACAGGGGTGGGGTGTTGCAGTACTAGTGGGAGTACCAAGCAGAGACGACGCATTCAAAACTCATCCCATGAAGCTCCTGAACGAGAGGACTCTAAAGGGTACCTTCTTCGGCAACTACAAGCCCCGATCCGACATTCCCGGAGTGGTCGAGAAGTACATGAACCAGGTAATATCCAAACTCCTCAAAGAATAATTTCAAAACCCCATTAAAGGATGTTACTGATTGTTGTTGTTGTTGTTGTGTTTAGGAGCTGGAGTTGGAGAAGTTCATCACACATACAGTGCCGTTTTCTGAGATCAACAAGGCATTCGATTACATGCTGAAGGGGGAGTCGATTCGATGCATTATTCGAATGGATGTGTGATTGATGATGATATGAGTTCATAAGTTTTGTGGGTTTGGTTTAAGGCGTGGGAATAATAAGATTACGACTCAAATGGAGAGATGTCTCTGTTTTCGTTTTTGTTGTTTTTGTTAGAATCTCTGTTGTGGGTCTTTATATCCATATTTATTCGACAAAATAGTCGATATTTAATCAAAAACATATCAGATTTTTCTGTCTTATTTTTTTTTTTATTATTATTATTCTTTTTGGCTAAATTAATTATGGTAACTTGTTTTAAAAGCATCCAAAACTCCAATTTTTTAATAAAAAAAAAATAAAAAAAATATAAAGGTATTAATATTACTTTTAATTAATTTAGTGTTTTATTTTTCTTTATTTATCTAATTTAGTGATTTTAATGAATTGAGTTATTAAAATAGAATAAATTATATAATTATAATATTAAAAGGTGAGATGTTTGAAATATATGGACCGTATTGTCGCTTTCCATTAATTACCAATAACAGTAAAGTTAAAAGTTTATTTTGTTACTTTATTTGTATATTATATTATATTATTATTACTTTTCTTTTTACACATCACTACATTGCACATCAAAGAATCTCAAAAAGTTTTTGTAACTTTCACTTTCCATTTCTAAAATAATTTTATTTAAATAATTTTCTACAATAACAGATATAATAAGTTTGAATTTATTACTATACTTGAAAAAGTATAAATAGGTTTAAAATGGTGATTTAACAATATTCCTATTTTTCATTTATTGTTTAATAAGATTGACCTCCCCAACATTTATTAATATTTATTAACCTACCGTGCCTAAATTTACGTCGTTTATTGAAATTGGTCTCTACTATTTGTAACAATAATTTGTTTTTTAAAGGTAAGTCCAATTATAGAAAAAATAAAACTCGAAGATATTAGTGTAATGTTATGTACAGTACAGTTCATGGATAAAATTGGGTGTCTTATCATAATAAAATCCACTGTATAATATTTACAAATGATTGGATCGAAATTGTTTACGCAGAGATATAAGAGTGGACGTATCGTATATAATGAGTTTGTATAATATTAGACTACAAAATATTGAACTCAGAGTTTTCGAGAGAAAAGTAAGAGTTGAAGGAAAGAAAAGTAAGTTGATGATTTAAGCATCACACTGTTTCTTTCTTTCCTTTTTGTTTCCAAATTAAGGAAAGAAGAAAGAGAAGCATTAAGAAGTACTTTGTTAAGCTAAAAGGTGAACAAGTATTTTGATTTTGTGAACCTTTCTATCTCCACACCTATTGTTGATTTCCCTATTAAGATAACAACGTAAGATGAGTTGTGTTAGGATTGCACAACTCACACGCTCGATTTAAATGAAAAATATGAATAACATGAAGAACAAAAAACATAAGAACATAATATCGTGATTGAAAACTCCACGTGGTTTAGGATAAGATAAATAGATTTTAAGATAGATTTTATCTAAATGGGATGATAGTTTAGGATAACAAATACTAATGCTTTCCTTCTTCTTTAATCTAATCTTAGAATCATATTCTTTTCAACTATTAATGGTCTCAAAGGAATATTGGCTAAAAAATTTATTGATGACTTACGAATGTACGGCTACAAAAAGAATACAGAGAATAAAGCTTTGAAAGCTCTACCTATACCTTTAGGGTATGTATATGGTTTCCGTTTACTAAATATAATTTCAATACATTTAACACCTCCCAAATATAATCTATCAAATATTTCTCAACCAAATCTTTATAAATATCTATGTATCTCTACCCGATAATATTTACCAAATATATATCTTACCCGACTATAAATAGGCATCATGCTCCATGTCCCAACCCATTTGGATACAGTCAGTTAATGATTTTATTCTCAATCTTAGTACATTATATCAATACATTTTGTCAACATGTTTGCTGGATTCTTTGCACCCTCTATCTCCTCCAAACACATCACCACCTTCCACTAACCTGCGAGTGAAATGGTATGCTTTCTTTGTTTTGTCTTTGAATGATAGATCGGGTTCCTCACCAACTGCATGACACATTGACTATCTACATGAAGAATCTTCTTGTGATGCTTCTTGCCTAATTCTTCTAGATAGTCTTTCATTTATATCTCATTTCCAACTTCAGGTATTGCCACGTACTCAGCCTCAATAGATGAAAGAGCAACACATTTCTGAAGCCTAGACATCCGATCATCCATGGCTTGCTCCCACTTGGTTGTATCCTCCAACCGTAGGGCCTCGTCAAAGGGCTCTGGTTCCTCTTCATTAGTTAACAATATATAGTGCAACGAAGGAACATACCTCTTCTAAGGTTAACTTTAACAAATGTTTTTCGAAATTTTTATTATTTTATTTTATATTTATCTTGAGTTCTCAAACTTTATAAGCATTTTTTCCTTCTAATATATCTCAAAATTTAGTCTTTAAGGTGCTTGATAAAATCTTGAAAGTTAGAACTTTTAAGGAAAAATCGAACATTTAAGTCTCATCAACTTAAGTGTTACAAGAGATTAAAAAAAAAAAAAAAAAAAAAA